TGGCGAATGGCTGAATGTTGAAATGACAAGTGTAAACAAATGTGAATTCATTTATGTTTTATGACAAAATCTCTAGTTACTATTGATGATGAATCATAATGTTATTTAGGAGGGGGAACATTAGATACAATGTATTTTGATTTAAACCTTTATTGACTCCTATGGAGGATGCTCACTCCTTTGCATGTGAAACCCTGCCCTGTGGATGTTAGTGTTTAATGTCTGGATGCACAGGTGGTCAGCTTGAGGTCTGAGAAGAGTATTCTCAATTATAGCAGGAACATCAGAAGCCTTATAAATAGTGTAGCTTAATTTCACACAAATTTAGCAATGGAGGAATATGTTAGAATGTACACATTTTCTACAAATTTTTTTTCCTTCAGTCTACATCAGCAGCCAAAACTCAGGTAGCACCTGGAGGGAGGGAAGGTTTGCACCATGGCCCTCTACCTTTGGGAAATACACGCAGGCATCATCTTCGGGCTACCTGATCAAGAATGGAGGGGTCCATTCCTACTTGTATCTTCTATATTTTCATGAAGTATGGGGTTGTTAAGGACTCTTGAATATTTCTTTAGGAGTTGCTAGTTTTTAAGCCATGGCTTTAATTTTTCTCACACCCTACCTCACATTTGGCCACGTATTGTTGCTGCTTCTCCTGTCTATACTTATCCCGGCCTTGGCTATTACTAATAGGAGAGTCTCGTGCGTATTTTGTCCATGTAAATGGCATTATAGCTATAAACAGGGACAATCAAAATGGCAAAATCTCATCTGAGGTCGGGGAAATGTATTAAAGGAAAACGTTACTGACGTATAAGGATTTTAAAGGCATAAATTATAAAAGGAACACATGTAGCTATTTAAGATTACATGATATGGGTGAGTCACTGCTATCTGGTTACTCATTACCTGGAACATGCGTATAAGGAAGGAGGAAGCGTAGGAACATGCGTATGGGTGTTTTTTGGGCAGTATTCCTAAAACAAATAGAAAGTAGTCTGTAATGCTTTGAACATTTGCTTCTTTTCCGTAGCATTACTTAACTTTCATTATACCAATATAGGTATGATTGCGAGTGCAATACTTTGTCTTGCAGGCAGAGTTTAGGTAGCATAAGTGAATTTTAAAACTTGAAAATCTTTGTCATTTTCTGTATTTAGGGACTTTAACTTTTATTTGATGTTTGCATATATGTGGCATTGATCTTTAATAGGACTTTTAAAATTAAAATCTGTCCTAAGTAAAAATTCTGGCTGTGAAATAGAGAAGTTGAGTTTGATAAATTTCTACCTAGTGATTAGTTAAGTTTTTCTTCACTTTGCCCCTTTTGCCTACTGTTTCCTTTGTCCCACTGTTTGTTTCATTTCTTCTCCTCTCCGGGCACCCCGGTGTAGTATTCTGTTGCACTCACTCCACTCTTCTCTACGTATTCAAATCCTCCTCATCTTTCAAGATGTATCTGGGGTACCACCTCCATTTTGAAGCTTCTTCCCTGTGGTCCATACCATGCATTATGTCGCGGTTATATAGCCCTTTATAGTATGCTATCTTATATATCTCCTCAATTGTTGCCTAGTTAAGTATTAGACTTCTACAAGAATAAGCGTCTTTTGAGCAGGAACTATGCATTATACATACTTACTGTGTTGCCTCAAGATCAGTGATCTTAAGAATTCACCTGGATTTGTTTGCTTATCTATAGTTAACTTCAAGTACCACTATCCTAATGTATTGTGTACATTATAAAACATATAAGGACAGGAATTTTTTTAAGTGATGAATAAAGAAATTTAAATAGAAGTTCTAATATTTTATATCCATACTCCAGTGGCTCATCTTGGGCATGGCATGGGGCACCCACACCTCACCTTGGGGGCCTGGTGCTAGGTACATGGTAGTACTTGGGAAATACTCATTTTTAGCTATCAGCTATTCTGTGCTGGTTGCTAACAAAACTCCCGCCTGTCGTAGATGAAACTTGAGGTTATAGCTTAAGTGTGTTTAAGATCTTGTAGGGGGGTATAAGAGATGTGTTAATCAGAATGAGGTAGGTACTACTTGTGTAACGGGCTTTCTTCATAGTTGAAGGCAGAGCTCAACCTAGCTCTGTCTCTCACTGATGGCCCAGTCTGTTGAGGATCAGATGGCTGTCCCCAGAGGCTCTCCTCTGAGGTGACTCAGATATCCATGCTGCTTCTGCATTGTTGTGGCAGCATCTGGGCCACATGGCTTCTAATTGCTGTGGAAGGTGAAGAGAAATCATGGTCAGCCTTCGCTGGCCAGTCCACAGTCACGTGGGCTCAGCCTCATTGCCAGGGAAGCTGGGAGATACAGTCTGCCTTTGTGCCCAGGAAGCAGAAAATGGAATGGGATTTAGTAAATATGTGACATGGTCTCTTGTCTGCTACAGTTATTTCGGTAGGGTCACTACTGTTGGATAATTCAACTCCTGGGTACATGTAAAGCAAACTTCTGCGTGATTTTAAACATGAATTCAGTAGTGTAATTTAGAAAGAAACTACTCTTAAAGTATTTTCAAGTATTTTTTTGCTTATAATAACTGTAATCATGGTGCATTTCAACATTTCCATTTTAATCTCATCTGAATGCATTTCTACAAAAGCGAACCTGTGTACCCATTTTTCATGTGTTTGTTGTTACTCCTTTTGTTTCACACTGCTGTTCAGCACAGACACTAGTAACTTTTTTTGTTTATTGTGAACAAAGGCTTTTAGTAGTGTACCATCTAGTTGTTATTGTTTATGGAAATAGTTGCTATTATGTGATTATTTGAAGATGTTTTAATGCTTTGATGGCTTATTGCAATAGATCTATGTTTAGTCCAATTCCCGTATTATTGATTTTCTTGGAACCAGTATGTCTGTTGGGATGATTAGAAAATTAAATGTTGATCTGTTCTGTATTCATTTGTGTATTCATCTCTTGGGAATTTTGGTAAAATGGTTCTAAATGGCTTTGAAACTTAAGCCAGTGCAATGTTAATTTTTTGGGATTCAACTTTTTCCAAATGGGTGGTGAATAAATAAGTCAATTTCCCCTATACTCAGGAGTGCATGTAAGGGCAACTTTGATTGCCTTTACTAAATATGGATGTAGTCAAAGATGGAAGGTGAAGGAATATGGAAATCTTAGAAAAGATTACAGAAGAATTATTTTGTCAAGAAAGGAGAAGAATATTGGATTTTTGCAGGAAAGGTGGGGAGAGTTTCAGGTGGTTTGGGTAATGGATTAGGGGATAAAGCACAGAATTAGGAATATGCTAACAATTTGAGTAGATAGAGAATCCATCCCCACGGTCATGCATTAAGACTTCCTACTTTCATGACATGTGTCAGGGAATAGGCTTTCAAAGTTTCTCTTGACTCAGTGGTGCTATAATTTTTAAACTGTAGTCTTTTTATTCTGGTAATGCTACACGTGTCTGTTTGCACACTGAAGATTTTCCTAGATTTGTTAATAGTTTTGAATGTTAATAGTTGTAACTGAATAAATGAAAATTTTCTGGGAAAAAATTTTCTTAGCTATGCTTATAAGGGGGCTCATACATTGTGAGGCAGATCCATCCGTCCATCCATCATCTCCCCCTCCCTGCCAAAACAAAGAAGAGCTCTACCTGTATTCATGGATTTTAATAATAACAATTGTGTTGTTTAGTTTTTTATAGTTCATATATATGTGAAGAATATGAATGTGAACTAATTATTCTCTCACATTCACAATTGACTGGAGACAGCTTACTATTTTACAGTCAATATAATAAAATAAATATTAATAGCTTTCTAAAAGTCAGAATAAAGGAAACATAGAAAATAAATAAGACCCAAGTGAAAATTAATACCTAACGTCTTCTGTACTTACTGAGCTTGAACTATTCATTTCCTGGTAGTCAAAGCAAAAAGGGAAATATGATCAGTTACAACATTATTTTTTGCACATAAGATCAAAGTGCAAGATGTGCTCAAAAGAGCGAAGTGTTCCTTGCCAGTTAGGTTTAAAAGGGATTTCTCTTAGGGGACTTATGATGTGCAGGATGTCATCCTGAGCAGCACCTTCCAAGACTTCCTTGTGGAAAACTGGGAATTTTGTATAGCTACTTCTTATGTCACTAAGTGGAAGCAGAGGACATAACACCAAAGTGCAATTTAGGAAAAGCAAGTCTGTAAGAGATATAAGTCAGAGGTTGTTATTCTTGGCTGCAGAACCACTGCAGAATTCCCTCGTTATCTGTAGGGAGTCGGGGAGGAGGAACAAGGCATCATCAGCTGCCTGGATGTCTCCAAGGTACATCCAAGTTGAGAACCACTGGTACAAGCACCTAGCTTTTTGGTTCGACTAGAGTGAAGAATACAAGGAACAGATAGTTGCAGTTTTCGCTCCAGGTGCTTCCTTTTGCTGTGATAGTTTTGTACGTTCGTTTATTTGTTTTCTGTTTTTTTTTTAACTAGGCTTTGAGTTAAAGGTGGTCTGCAGATAATTGGAGGTTGTATTCTCTGGTAAGGGCCTAGAGAACACATACTCTGTTGCCAATAAAAGACAGATTCTTAATTTTTAAAATTCACTGAGTAGTACGTTGGGCCATTATCCTTTTTTGAAAATTTAGGAAGCAAACTGAGACTTGTTTGAATAGATGGCCCTCATCTCCATAGAGATGTGGGTCATAAGATATATGGCAAATAGAAAGTTCTCTAGACTGGAACTAGTTAACTCTGGTGATCAGGCAACTCTGTAGAGTTTGGTGATGGTTCCCAATCTTCGGGCCTGGGGAGTTATTGCAGAGATTGGTATTTTTAAATCTTAATTGGTAGGTATTTGAAGTGCACATATTTGAAGAGAGTAGTCACGTGCATGTGTGTGTGTGTGTGTGTGTGTGTGTGTGTGTGTGTGTGTTTTAACCTTAAGCACTAAGGTTAGACCCACTGGCATAGAATGGCTTTGGGAATTGGAACTCCCTATTTGACCATTTCTAAAAATTTCAGAACGTCTTCCTCCAGTAAGTGTTTAGTTCTAAAATCTCCATAGATATGTGCTTTGTTCCAAATCTCCGTAGATTTTCTTCCCTGCCACTAAGCCTGCCATTGGTCTATAGAAAGCTCCAGAAAAAGTCCTCTGGCATCGTCCTAGGACATGTCACTGAATTGATTGGATTCAACAGCATGTCAGATCTCAGTGGCAAGAAAGGCGTATGGGTGAGGAGCAGAGGGTTGTCAGTACAGCTTTTCTAGACAGTCTCTTCGTGGTTTAATTTAGAAAGATTTAATATGTGGAGTCTTTGAAGACTTGTTGGTCTATTTATCCACCAGAAATTCTGAGTGCATCACATATGCAAGTCCCAGTGATCTTCTTGACACAGAAAACCTACTCTGAGCGTAAATTCGGAACATTGAAACTCTAATTCCTCCTCTGGAAGGAGGTGTTTTGCTGGGGAGGAGCAGAAAAGGACTTTGATGGTAGCTCTTGGTAGCTCTTAGGAGGCTGTGGTGGAGGGAGAACCTTGGCCTCCGATGCTGGACACAGTTCCTGGTAGATTGTAGGCACTCGATAAATACTGGCTACAGAACTCAAGAAGGAAATTAGGATGAAAGTGATAATTTGCTCAAGGGTGACCTAGAGAAGTGACCACACCTGTTTTTGGAGCAGACACAGGGTGTATCAACTGGGGACTATAGAAATGGTAGGAACAGAATGTTTTCATTAGGCAGCTCTGAAGATGACTCTAAATTGCCTTTGCTCCCTGGTTCAAGAACTGGCAAGATCCTAGAACATTACAAGTGCACACGTAACCACACTTTGGCTACCTTTTAAAAGTAGATTTTAGGTGACTATTTGCCTGTGTCTTCAAATAGAATTTATATCAATTAGCATTAGGGAGAATTACTGAATCCTAACAAATAACCTAAATGAAGAATTTTAGCTAGAATGTATGAAATAGAGTCCCTTCTTTAATATTCTTGTAGTATTTTAAATCTATAGGGCTCTTTCTTTGCAAGTGTATGAATATACACTTACATATGTATACTTAAATAACAATTCTTTTGGTTTCCCCTTTATTTAGTTATTTATAAATAGTTGGTAAGCAAACGTAGACGTTGAAAGTGCCATACATTAATTTTATTGCTTTTCCCCCATGAATAGGAGAAAAGACAATGTTAGGATTCATTTTACTGATTTATTCTGAGCATATACCATGTGTCAGTGCTAGGCAGTTAGATGGTGAGTCATAATTCCCACTCTCAAGGGAAAGAAACTGTAAACAAAAAGTCTCCCGAACTTAAAACACCACATGCTGAGGCTGTAATAGATGGATAAATGGGTGTACGGGCTAGGGACTCCTAGAATGAGGTGAGAGGCAGGGAGTTCCAGGGAGATGAGCCAGGAGAGACAGCTGGGCCAGCTCCAGAAGAGAGCCTTGCTTGCTTTGTAATCTGTATCACATCAGTGAGAAATCAAGTTCTTTTTTTTTTTTTAATTTCAGAATATTACAGGGGTACGAATGTTTTGGTTACATAAATTGCTTTTGTATCGTTTGAGTCGAAGTTATAAGTGTGCCCATCACCCAGATAGATAGTGTGCATTATACCTGTTAGGTGTGAATTTACCCATTCCTTCCTCCCCCACTAGAAATCAAGTTCTTTAAGACTGGGTTTTATATGCGCCTATCCTGCCTGGTTTTGACCTCTCTGGGTAACCAGAAATCAGTCTGGATATAGGGAAAGGAAACTGTCGTATTGAAGGTATAAGCTTGTATCGAGCTTATATTTCGTAATGAAAACATTGTATAGGTACGATGCGTACCTCCCAAGGACCCGATGCCTATCCCTGAGTGCCTCGGGGACTAATCTCTGTTCTCATCTAAGTCTCTTGCCCCTATCCAGCTGTTCTGGGAAGATTGTCACTAGCTTCCAGGACTTACTTTATTCTTAAATTCTTAGTGTTGGTTTAAGTAGTTAAATAGTTTCTCAAAGTTTGGTGATTATTAAGGCCAAAGTCTTTTATCAGGTGACTTTTCCCCCCTGCAGACATGGTAATAAATACTAACTGCTGCTTGCAGATCCAAGTGTTTCTTTCTCTCAAATATACTGTAATCTGTGTATGTGGTATTTGGACACAGTCATTTTCTCGTGGCTGCTTTTCAAACATATCAACATGACTTAAAAAACTTTCAAGCAGATATTTGAGTGTTCTGTATTTGGGTTCGTTTTGGAGCTGTGCTTTCTGTGTGATGGAAGCATGGAAGAGCTGTGTGAAACCCTTTGTAAGTATCAGTGCACTTTCTGTGTATCAACATGAACTCTCGCTCTAGCAGTGGATAGCTTAAAGCAGGAGTCCCCAGCCTTTTTGGCACCAGGGACCGGTTTCATGGAAGACAGTTTTTCCACAGTTGGTGGGGTGGGGGAGGAAGGAGATGGTTTCAGGATGATTCAAGCTCATTACATTTATTGTGCAATCAAACCTCTCTGCTAATGATAATCTGTATTTGCTTCTGCTCCCTAGGGCTAACATCACTGCCTCAGATCATCAGGCATTAGATTCTCATAAGGAGTGTGCAACCTAAATCCCTCACATGCACAGTTTACAGTTGGGTTGGCGCTCCTATGAGAATCTAATGCCACCGCTGATCTGACAGGAGGAGGCGCTTGTGCGGTGATGTGAGCGACGGGGAGCGGCTGTAAATACAGATGGAGCTTTGCAGGCTGCTATCTCTTACCTCCTACTCTGTGGCAGGCCACGGACCGGCGCAGGTCTGTGGCCTGCGGGTTGGGGATTGCAGGTTTAAAGCATTGCTGTCTAATCATCCCCTGCCTAAAGTTCTCTGGCAGAGATTGATGGAGAGTCAAGGAAAAAGGAAACTTGGAAACTTGTGAAGGAGGGAGTGACCTCTTTGTGGTTTAGGATAACTCCGGGAGGGAGGAGGAGGGCTGCAGGGAAGTGAGCCTGTAGGCAGAGTAGTTTATGGTATTTTTGGTTTACCCATTTTTATGTGACCATGTGGAAGCCATTTTTGATATACAGACATTTTAGTATTTAAAAAAAAAACCCATAAAAATAGTAATCAAATAACGTGCAGAACAGTCCTGGCATCTTGAGCTTCCTTTCCCTTATCTGTGAAGCACCTTCCCTAGGGTCAGACCAGAACCGGGGAGAGAGAGGGAATGGGAATGAAAACCCTCTGGAAGACTCACCCACATAAGAAGTCCTTCCTGTGTTGACCACGTGGTCCTTCTAGAGAAAGTTGTCAGTCACTATAAGCTCAGAGCCTGCTCATTCCCTGAGGCGGCTTCTTTCTCCGTGGTCTGAATTATAAGCCTCTGATTTCCCCCTTGAGTCACTGATTTAAGACATGGATTTGGCTAAGTCATAATGGAATTTGTTTGTTTTCTATTTATAAATCCAGAGGAAAATTTCTACATTTTGTCTATGTCCCAGATCTGCAAACGTTATTTGATAGGTACATCATAAACTAGGCCGGGGGGAGATGGGAGCCCCTGGACCACGTAAGGATCACTTCAGTCAAGACTGCCCGGAAAGTCCTCAGACATGCTGCAAAACGTTTACTGAACTGAACTGCTAAACTACCCTTTGACATTTCTTGAAAGAAGAAGACCCACTAATTCAGTTTCCTAGGACACCATCCAGAAACTGAAGCCATAACCTGGTTCCAGGAAGCCAATCAACATTCGAGTATTAATATTTCCCAACGAGCTTTCTGAGACTTCTTAAGAACAATGTATGTGCACGTCCACATCTGTGGTACAAAAGAAATACATCTGGTCTTTGTCTCGGCCCCCGGGCAAAAAGCTGCTAGCACTTCTCTCTGGTGCCTAAGCAAGCAAATACATCGTACTGAATTTTGCAGCCACTCTATGATATGGCTGTAGATCTGGTTCTCCCAAACACGAGTGGACCGGTGACCTTGATTCTATCAGGCAAACCCGCAGATTTAGCCACAGCTGGCCGTTTAGTCCCTTATTGAATGCCTGCTGCATTTCCAACACTCTACAGGGTGCTTTATAAACAGCCTCTTCACAGCCCCGTGAGGCTTGAAGCACAAAGCAAAGCTTCAGATGTTGATAATCTTTCACTGCTGTCCACTCCATTTTTTTTTTTTAAACCAAAGCAGTATGTACTTGGGGTTCCAGTTCAAATGGCGTCTCCACCCGGTGCCTTCTGTGGTAACCTCAGCCAGATCTCTCTGTACTTCTGCAGTACATGGTGGCACGCAGGGTCCCCAGCACAGTGCTTTCTGCTCTGCATGGCCATCCTGTGTCCTGCCCTTTCACTGTCACGAAGCTGGAACGTCCGCGTCACTGCATCCTGTGTACCTAGCAGACATCTGGGGCTATCAGAATTAGATGAGGCACAGTGGCTTACAGTTGAATGTTGCAAACATGAAAAGCTCGCTTTACTGAACTATTAATATTTGGGATGTGGAGGTAAAGTACCTTAGATCAGAATGTGCGTTTCAAAGTTAGACAAAGAAAAAGACACACAAAGTGGCATACAAGGTGGTAAGTTTTTAGGCTTTAAATCAGTAGGGAACATCCGTGAAAATCAGTCAGAATTTTGAAAATTTGAAGTCATTCTTTTTACTTTAATGAGGTAAATGTTAAATTCAGAGTTAAGTTTTAGGGGTGATTAGGAAGGTTTTTGGAATAACTTGGGGTGTTTCCATGAATTAGTTGCCTGATCTAAGGTCATAAAAATTGGCCATGAAATTAATTGAAATAAGTGATTTTGCCAAAAAGTTTTCAAATGTTTGTGTTGGGAATTTGTTTAAATTGTATTCACCTTGAATCAGAAAGGCTATTCTTGTAACTCTAACTGTTCAATTATTTTAATGATAGTTGGGGAATAAAAGATGATTGTTAGAATTCTTTTGTTAAAAGGGATACTAGGCCGGGCACGGTGCCTCACGCCTGTAATCCTAGCACTCTGGGAGGCCGAGGCGGGCGGATCGGTTGAGCTCAGGAGTTCGATACCAGCCTGAGCAAG